ATGCCTCGAGATGTTTGGTCAATTGAGAGCATAATTCTACACAGTGACCCTATTTAGGCGGCAATTAATATCTATTCTAATCTAGGAGGATTAATTATCTCACAATAGAAGGAATCTTGAGGGTCGAACGTGGAAAGGTGGTTTTAATTTACAATGAGCCCCAGTGGAGGGGGTTTCAATTGGCAATCGAGACCACAAAGGGAGGGTGATTGGTGAGGACGAAATGGTTGCAATTTGTGTTGATGGCGAGCCTCGATGACCATAAAATTCTACTGAGAATCTGGACTTTGATGCTTATAACTGGGTCAATTCATTAGTAGTCAAGTGTAGGGCCTTCATTTGAATATGAAGACGCATCAGCCCGAGAAAGCTAACTTGACTTTTAATACTACAACGACAGTGGAAGTTGCTTGGTATGATCAGAATGTCTATAAATTCACCTCATCACGGAAATGAATTTATTATACCGCTGAGAGTTGAGATGCGCCCTTGCCTGACACATCTAATAATATTATGTGTTTGTATAAAACCAATTGCGAGGGGTGTAATGTTTGCTCAGGAGGCGCGCTGTGAAAAGAAATCAGGGGAAATTATCATATTAAACGAACACTGAGGAGGGTCTGGCCCTTAAAAAAAACACACACACACACACACCCAGGCAACTCTCGGTGTTTTACAGCCACCCAGGGGGTGGGCGACTGTTTGAAATACCAATCACCCCTTTTGCCCCTTGCGAAACAATGCCGAGAGTGGCTGTGGGTGTAAAAAAGGAGAGCACAGGGGGCGTGAAAGGATCATTTATTACCCATCCACATAATCATGTGTTTATAGAGCATACACATCTACAATGTCCATTTATCAATTACCCATTATCCTGAATGGCAGCCAAATTTATTGCACTTTTCGCATTTCAACAGTACATAAATCCTTTTCTCTGCCTCACGACTTCGCACGAGGCGGCGATACAAGTAATTATTGATACCTGGGCCCCCGTGTTGCCAATACCCGCCACAGAAGGCGCTATGGCGCTGACAGCTGCGCCTGCGCGTGGACAATCGCTGTCACTACCCCTCCGGAAAACATCCCTCCCCTGCGAGGGACCGAGCATTTGCAAATGCCAAAAATTCTTACGTGGATTCTGACAAGAGTGCGAGATGAAGCTTCGCGATAGTGCTCTCAAATGCCTCTTGATGGATGTTTATTCGATGCTCTCTCGCTCTCCCAGCTCGTGGGGCTCTCAAGCATAAATGCCAGATCATATCGATCTAGAGAGGGAAATCAATTTTTTGCCATCCCCTCCGCACACGAGACGTGCACATATAGAATATTCTGGGGTAAATATTTACTCAAGAGGATACAGCGGAGAGTGTGATAAGCATATACAGCAAATCAAAGTCTCAGCACACAGTCCAGCACATAGGGCAGCATCGCATGGGGAAATTGTATGAATTATTAATATTATACATGGGACATTGCAGCTTTTGTGTATGGCCCTGTGTGGTAAGTAATCTCTTTATTTTTTTTCCCACCACTTCACACTGTATTTAACCCCACTCCCACTCGTTGCATTGAAATTATCACATTAAATGCACTTAATCAGGCGCATAAGCGCCGTGCGGATTATGCTATGGACAAGCGATATCGCATCTCTTAAAATTACACACACACACACACAACACCACGTCCGATCAATCATGTAATTATTTCTTCAGCCAGCCATGAGTAAACCCAAGGACCACCCTTTGACTCCCCCGAAAACCCAATCAGGACCAGACTTGCAAAAAAGCTGTGTGGCGCACATTTTCATCAACATGAGGCAGCAAAATAAATTTTAATTGATTAAAATTTATTTGATTAGAAAGGAAAATCGATCGGGTCGCTGTCGTAATAAGTTTCTGGGTGGCTCTATAAACTTTTATTGGGGAAATTTTCATTAATTTACCCAGCACAACTTACTCCGCTTGTTACTTGGATGCCGCTGGAGAAATATTGCCCGATTTGCTGGGATTTATTTTGCTGAATTTTAATGGCTTGGTTGTACTATACACACAAATTATTCCACGTCCATTCCTTCTGGGAAAATTGATAAACTATGTGCCCAAAAATTAAGCGCTTTTGAGGAGTTTTCAATGTTAAATTACATAATGATATATGCCCAGAATTGGCTATACTATAGCGTAGAGTTATTAATCAATTTGGAACCAAATGAGATTCATATGCAATATATGGTATGGCTCAGTGAGCAAAAATTCTGCTGAATTTGAGGAAGTCTGTCAATACTTGTGGGAAAATGCACAGTCAGAAATGAGGCAATAAGCATCTCTCTCACTCACTCAATATTTATGTTTTACACACTGTGATTCCCTGTGAGTGAATATGCACATAATTCACTCTGTGAACTTTGCAAAGTGATTAGGGGTATTGCTTTGATATTGCTTTCATATCACTGGTGACAGTTGAATTGAATTTGCTTCAATATTCGTCAACAGGCAAAAATAAAGTATGTCATGTAAATATGGACGAAAGTGCATTTACTCTGGGTTCATTGAGAAATTATGATATCAGGCATTTTTTTCTTACTCAAACATTGGATTTTATTAATTTTCCAGAAGACAGTCTGTGGACTTTTTCCCATTCAGGGAGACTCTTCATTGTTCAGTAATTAAAAAGCTCACATTGCAGTTAAATACTCATGATAATACACTCTCAGACCTTGTCTCAGACACCCCAGAAGCCGTGCACTTTCTTACACAACGTATTACTTATTAAATGCCTTTCGGTGCATGGCGAGGAGTCTTGCTTGGAGGAAATGTATAGTTTACTATCTCTTCCTCTCGAGTTGAGTGTTTATACAGCGTTGCAATTAAATATTTTATATGACTTCCGCGATGGAATGTGTGGCAAAAAAGGAGAGCTTTAGCAAAAGTTCATCCCACTTATGCCTTCTCACCATTTCTCATCCAATTTCATGCAATTTGCAAAGTTATTATTAATAGCTTTCGCATATTAATTTTCGATTTCATCATTCAATTTGAATTGATTTGCATAAGCCATTTGATGTTGGGGAAAGCGTGCCTCTGAGGTTCTGTCTATGACATTAAAATTACCCCTTAACAAGGTAATTAATCACACACTGACCCAAAAATGCGATGAAAAGGCATTTTCAGGAAAATGAATTGCCAGTGCTTTTGCGCGAGAGGTGAAAAGTGTGAGTTCGGGGAAGATGACATGCTCTGGATTTGATATACTGTCCCCACTCTTGTGCATGTCATATGTTATGTTACAAAACTTCAAAAGATTTTTACTACATTTCACTTTTTTGCGGTTGAAATGGAGCCACTTTTGCTACATACTGCGCTGACACACTATTGCCGAAAACGAGATGAAAGCTCACAGTTTTGTGCTATGTACTTCCTTAATGTGTGCAAAAGTATGTAAATGAGTCATCATGTGGGATACTTAATTGATGTGGTCAAATTGGTTTCGCCCGCCGATAGCATGTAATTTTAAAAAGCAATATCACGTAATTACACAACTCTGGGGAAAAGCAATTATATTTGTTGGAAGTATTTCAAGTTTTATCACATGTTTCACCTCACAGTTATATATTTTCCCACCATATTTCCCAGAAGACATCCAAGTGGCTGGACAGTTTACGGATGAAGTGACGTAATTGCAAAATCTGCATGTAAAATATTTATTTTTTCGCAAAGAACTCTTTTACATGTTGAAATTGACATTCAGAGGAAGTTTAGAGAGAAATGTTTAATTTGCAGCAATTAGCCAAATTGAAAATATTAAAACTAACGTTTCTTTTGAAGTCAATTTAATTGAATAAGCACGATGTTCATTATAAATATAGTTAATTTCATCTGGATATCATATTTGCTTTTTGATTGGCTGCAACTTGATTTGTAAATTATATCGATTTAATTTTCACAGAGATTATTAAAGCAATTAATTAAATTCATCAAACGGCTGAATTTATAGCGAAAAAAAAATGTTTTCCAAAATAAGGGTTGTTGAAATTCTTCTTACCGTCAATTGTTTGTTCACTCCCAGGGTGAAATATGTAATATCCGGCGAGACTTCCTCAATGGAAATTCACTGGGAGTGTAAAACATTTAAAAGCTCTCCACCGCGAATTTAAATATATATATACATATATATTAGACAGGCGGAATGAGTGGAGAACGAAAACAATGGCACAACCTTTGGCTTTTGTGAGTGGCGTGACAAAGTTATGAAAAAGTCACGAGAGTTTACACAATTTTCCACGTAGAGCAAGTGATGAAAATGGTAATTTGTTTTACTCCGTATATGCGAAATGGACAATGAGAGGCGAATGAAGAGTGTGTGAGACACAAGTATGGGAAAAATGCTCATAAATTAGAGGGAAAATTCTTAAATGATCCAAATGACTTCATTAAAAGTGTAATTAAGTCCTTGTCCCCTTGAATTAATACATCAATTTTATTTATGAACGCATGTTATGTATGGCCAGTGACATGTTGCCTCCTTCGCATTTTCCCAGTCGCAATATCTCTTCCGGGAAATTCGGCGACACACAGTGGGTGGATGGTACATATTTCAAGAGAGAGAGGCACTTAGACAGTCCCAGCATGTGCGGGGGTGGGTATTCATGAGGTGACACCTCAGAGAAGAAGTGGATGCCATCGCAGGAAAAAAGGAGCGCTAGGAAAAATTGGCAGTATAGTGAGTTGTTGGGTAAGAAACCCCAATATTATGGTAATATCCCCATGAGCTGCGTCCTCACTGTGGTAGGGAAAGTGTCTGTGTGGGGGAGGAGGGGAAGCGTCGTGCAGGAGATGCTGTGCGAGAGTCGGAAAGATCCGTGTGTTTGCGGATTCTACCGTCATTGAGAAAATTGGCGTCTCCGTCGGGCCGGCGCACATCATCTCAAAAACAACTACACAGTCCACAAAGCCTCCCATCGGACAGAATCTCAGCTCACCCGACCAGTTCCCAAGCATCTCTTAGCATCTCAATGTGCGGAGGCTGGTCGTCACGCGAGACAACGCCACCAGAGCTCCTTTTTCTTCTCATTTGATGTTTTTCCGCTCCCTTTCGTTCGCGAATGCGTTTCGTGTGTGCGCCAAAGTCCAGCCTTAGCAATTGCTCAAGCGGTGACACTGTGTCCAATTGACTCTGCACCCCACGGGGGAGGCAATTGACGGGGAATTTGCTCAAAACTACGAGAGAGTGCCACCCCCGCAGACTGCAAAAGTATTAAAGTTAATAGAGTTTTTCATATTCGGTCGTTTATTAAATTATGTGAGTACCATAAAGTGGCGCCCCAGCATTATCCTGGTCGTGTTGGCTGGATATTGTAAATCTTCCGCGCGCGCCCCCTCAGCAAACACTCGCACTGGGTGGTGATAAGTCGTGAAGAAGTGCACACAGCGGAGGATAATTGAGTGAAACTGTGACAAAAGCTTATACTTTAATTCCAAATAACGATTATGCAAATCAAATTTGGATTAATGACACCTCAAGCTTAACGAGAGGCTGGAACGACACTCAGCGCACACAGCTTTGGAAAAAATATGTAAGAATAATGCTCAAGAATTTTCAATTAACACATTCTTGGTGTTGAATTTTCATTTGCAATTTTCATCCACTTCTCCCGCATACTATATATACTTTTATTCCGTCACATCTTCTGCTGTGTCTTCCTATTGTTGTGAGAGGAATTTTGCCAAATTTCCATCCTCACACGCACACACCAGAGCCAAGGCAACTCCATCACTCTGGCGAATATTTTCCTGCGGGGAGGTGGAGAAAGTTGATGGGAAAGTAATTTTTCAATCCTTTTTTTCACATCCCCCGCTGCGGCTCCAAACAAGGCGATTAAGCTCAGCAATATTTGCCCTCTTCTCTCAAAACCGGCTGGAAGTTCTTTTCAATTTGGCTTTTAAAGCCCCCGACAAAAGTATTGCACCTTCGGGAATAATATGTGGGTGCTGTTTTTTTGTTCTCTCCGCCCATTGAGAAATCCCAAACAGAGATTTTTCGCCGGAATTCAACCCTCTCTCACTCTCTTTCCGTGAATACAAGCCGAGGAAAAACCATGCGAGGGTGAAGTAGTGCGAAAAAATGTGTTGTATTCGGGATTATTGCACTTCTATTGGCGATAGAAAAAAAGTTTTCAATATAAATGATTTCGTAGTGTTTACCAAACAGAAGTATCTGAAACTTTTTTGTGCTCCGCATCCCTCGAACGGCCTCTTTTCGGGGGGTGGGGGTGGGGATGGGGACGGAAAGGGAGTAACACAACACCCGACAGCAACTGGGAAGAAAAAAGACAGGGAAAGGGCGAATGGTAGACTCGCCGTGTATCTGTGAGCTTTAATTTTATTGGCAGAAGAGATACCATGGTTGTTTGGGTGCTTTTGGAGGAATTTGCAGCGAAACGTCATCAATCAATTGAATAATTTAGTGATTTCTTTCCATCTGATGCCTGATACAATGGGCAATGGGGTGGGCATAAATAAATATGTGAACCACGGTGTGTATTTAAGTGGTGTGAGTGCCGTGTTATACATGATAAAAGTATAAAATCAATACCAGCCAGAAATCCTGCCTATAACACGAGCACAAGTGAGGTTGAAAAGCTCTCCAGTCGTGAACTTTCTAGTGGATGTTTCGACGATGAGACCGTGCGCCATATATATAGTGTATGGGAAATTTAAGATTCAAATATGTGATCTCAAATCTCCCACTTTTCTCCCAAACTTCTTTGTCTCAGCCATTTTTGGGAAATATATAATTTTCGGGCTTCGCCCATAAAGTCTTGCAAGTGCGCAAGAATACCAATTACTTGATGGAGACATTGTTGAGGAATTAGGAAGACTTATGTCCCAGATTTTCTACACTTTTGTGTGGAAAAAATCATTTCCGACAAGAAACATGATTTTGCCCGAAGGATCGCCCAGATTAATGCATTAAATTAATTATCCATTTCACAGAAGTAATCTTTGTCACTAATTGAATTTTCACTTTGATCCTTAAGCACAATCAAATTAAATCGTGAACTTATCTGCTTTTTCCGGAGACACCCGTGATGCTAATTGGGCCATGAAGACTTGCTACAAAGTTTATTGGGCGGAAATAAGTGGAGCCATTGGTTGGCATTTCACACAAATTGCAGCAAAGAAACACACCTTGGCTCTCCCCCTTTGGACAAGTTACACATAAGGCATCTTTAATGTATATTTTCCATACGAAGGGCCCTAAAATAGCAACATATTCACCTATCCAAACTTGAGTGATTCATTAATTAATCAAAGACTAACACTGCGAGGTTTGAATAACCACAGGTTAGATTGGCAGGTGTCAACTCCCAATAGAAGGAGTTTATTGGCCTTTCGGTAAACATCGTAAAGATTGCAATAGCTTATGATCGGAAGGGCTCCCGAAAGCCCCTTGAAAATATGAGATTTTCCGGACTCTCAATCTAGTTAGAAAAGTTGATTGACGGGAAAAATGATATGGTTTTGTTGAAGAACAATGTCTGCGATAGAACAAAGACATCAAATGGTCCAACATACTCACAAGATTAATGCTTTGTTGTTTTCCTCCTCTAGCTTTTCATATTTCTATCCATATCAAGGCCAGATATTTCCAATCAGAACATCTGATAAAAATACTCAGTCAATCAACATTTAATCACGGCCGCGATGTGTGAAAAATTACATTTGTCAGAGCAGAAATCCTTGTGTGAATAACTAAAAGAGAGACATGAAGATTTGCATAGTATAACTAATGAATTCACTATTGTTCATATATAGCTGAATGGAAATTCCACATATTGCCCCAGTTTTATCGCTGAGCACGCAGATTTATTGAATTGTTTAACTTTCCATACTCACTCAGGGCGGGATTAAATCCCTCCGGAGGGAAAAATCACATTGTCAAGCAGGATAAGTTTGTCGAGCTCATTTGCCATTCGATTTCTATATATATAGCTCAATAGCATTCCAATCTTGTGTGACAAATCGTGCCCGGGAAACACCGTTTCCCATTTCGATTAGCGTAATAGGGGAGCTTTTTCACCTCATAAAAGTTTCATTCGTTAAATGATTTATTAAATAGCGTGTGGAAAATACATTTGAAGGAAATTATTGGATATTTTCACGTGGATGAGCCGCCGATGTGTGGCGTGAGGTGAGGAAGTTTTCAGCATTGCCATGAAAATTTCACAGCCTGATCTCAGCTCAAGAGTCACACATTTAATATTGAAGAAGGATGTGGGGAGTTGGCCTGGGGAAAACCCAACAGATTTTTCACTGAGCTGAATTTGCTATTTTCATTCATTTTGGAGCTCCTTCGCCCCAACATTTCACCACACAAAAGTACACACTTCCGCATTGTTGAGCGCACCAACATATTGTTTTAAGTATGAGAGTAAATAGTGTGGCTAGATGAGTCATACTTTTAATTGCACGGCACTCAATGTGCTTACATTTCGCTGAGGAATACATATAAAGTCGATTACCATCGTTAAGTGAATTCATAATAAAGAAGAGTGTGCAATAAGTTAGCAGCATTAAGTGCCATAATTGCGAATTTTCCCAGCGCACAAACACACACACTGCAAGCGATTTTCTCACCAGGGGTGCACGAAAAATCACAAAAATGGATTTTGGCAATTTTCTATATGTCAAATAGCGAAAGCACAATGAATGTGCTGCGCGAAAGGAGATTGAAAAGGAAAATATTTGAAAAGTTAAAACAACATTACCACCAATGGTGAATGTGAGAGAAATGAAGCATTTGCATTTTCCGCCACACTTTATTCCCCGAAAATATGGCGAAATAGGAAAATATGATTCACCTCTGCGCCGCTCAGGTATTATGTTTTTAGCTCTCAACATGTGAAGACGATGGAGCACAAGACATAAAAGAAAATGTACTTTTCTCCAAACCAAACTGCCGTGTGGAGAGCGTTTCAACCTAATTCCCATAGTATTGAATAAATTATCCATTTTATTTCCACACACTATTTTCATTTACAAGTTTCTCGATGAGCTTCCACGTCGTCTTTCCACTTCCTCTCCTTTCGCCAGTTAGCTTTCTTGTTATCTCCCCTCTCGTATGCTTTGCTTTCTTTGACGACATTCAGCTGCGGGGAACTTCTTTTTTGGGGAGTCTTTTCTGGGTTAAGTGTTTGGGTGGGATTTTCAGTTTACTTGATGGCTGCAGAGAGGAAAACTCTGCATGCTCTACATTTTAAACACTATAACGCAAAGTCCTCTCGGGGAGAATATTAAAAGGAGAAATATGACGAATTCTGTCCAATGTAATTACACAAAATCTACGGGAATTATTAGAGTATTTCCTGCCTTCTTCTCAACACCTGCGATTCCACTTTAGCACCAAGGGAAAGATGATACGGCTAACCTGTGTACACCACTGCCTGTCACGGCCACAATTTCTGTAAAGTTATTCATTTCTTGAATCACAGACGCTTCCAGAACTTTGGCAGTGCTTAAAACATGCGATTCTCTTTTTTTCGGAACTTCATAGACTTTTCCAACCGCCTAAATAACCTCAAATACTTTTACTGAGCCATATTTCTGGCCATAATATCTCCACCTTGCACAGCACAAGGCCGACACCCTTCCGGTCGTGCCACATAAACTACAAGTACACAATGTTTAGATAATAAAACCTCATTTAAATTTTACACATGACGACAGTGTTGAACCAGCAACCACGAAATCCTCTCTATTCAGCCAGAATAAAATGCAAGGATGAAACAAGGATAAAAACGAAGCACAGCGACTTAGAACAAGGACATCTCCCAAGGTGTGGTTTATTACGTAATTGTTCCCTGTAAGAACAACATTGTCCAATTTTTCATTTTCTCTCTGGCTGCTCCGCTGTCTGCACAGTTGAAAATGAATGCAGCACGTTGGGTAATTTTCATGTCATGTCGCCATGGACGTTTTTCGGAGTTCAGGTGTGTGACGATTTTTTTTTGTCGCGAAGGGTGGAATGGTGACTATCAGAGTGGCGCGTCCGTAAATGAAATTTCCGACTGAATTGCATTTCTGGCTATTCGCGATACATAGCGAAAAGCGGGGTAATTTTTCATTTAGGTAAAACCCAGTAAAACCAAGCTAAAGCTAAAGCTTGCAGAATAACATACTATAAATATGCATGTGACTTTATAAATGTTTCATTGTGTCTGGCAACGAAAAGTTATCCAGACACATTTCGCTGCTTGCTTGCATTCGATAAGCATTCCATCATTGAGAGCATAGATTATAAAATTCATTACGTAATGAAAGTGCTTTTACGCCGTGAAAACAGTGCTCTTCCCGTAAACCTCCTCTTCTGTAGTCCATATTTCAAACATACACGTCACTTTAATATCCGATCTGATGAGTTGGGGGGGAAAAGAGACGAGGATTCAGCACTCTTAACAATATATCCTCATCCTGTCTCGCCTCTGGTCTTCGTGCATTCAGAGAAATTTATGCGGGAAAAGGATAATGCTTTGAGGTTTACGGGCACATCCTATTCAAAGGCATTTTCCGGTCT